TGAAGTCCAAGTCTGGGAACAGCTCTTCTGCTTTACGCTTAAAAGTCTTTCAGCCGCTGTCCCAGAACTCAGCCATCTCATGCTTGTAGAAGTCCGACCACTGGAAGCTCTAGATCACTTCCTCTTCACTCCTACTTCCAGCGGTCGCTCCCGACGGGCCAACCCCTCTACCCCTCTCTCTTGCGAAGTTGCTAGCAATAGCGGCATCAATAGCCATCTGGAAGTCAGCGGACCCCTTGAACTGCTCTACCGCTGCAACACATAGGTCAGGGTACGCCGTCCTCTCAGAGGCCAACTTGGTCTTCTCCTCTTCCAAGGCTTTCTCTAACCATGCCTTCTCACCCACTGACTTGGCCCTTTCGTCTGCCAGCGCCCTCTCTAACTCAGCGATCTTTCAGATCTGCTTCTTCCTTTTCTTTGATCGACTGAGCGCGTAGATCTTCATTACAGACCATGGCCTCATCCCACCTTTCGTTGGTGACGGTGCAGGCTTTCTAGGCCTCTTCTAGCTTTCTCTACTCACCAGCCAACTAGAACTCGAGCAACACCATCTTGCGGCGTTCCGTCTCTAGCTCCAACTTAGTTGCTAGCAGCTCAGCATTAGCACAGTCTGCTGAATAGTCCTGCACCATCGCCAACACCTCCATCTTCTTGGCGTTCTGGGCATACTCCAGCCCCCTAACACATGCACTCCGTGCGGCTCTCCTCCACCCCCCGGTCTCCCTCCTTAAATTTTCAAGCTGGGCCTTCACCTCCTCCAGCTTTGCCTCCAGTGGCTTAATTTCGCCCTTTGCGCGCGCCACTTTGTTCAGTAAGGCTCTTGCTAAGGCCGTCGCCTCCATCTGGGCCGAGCACAGCTCCCTTAGCAGTTTGGCCTCTGTGGAGCTTGCCATCGAACGCACAGTCGTGTCCTCCACTACCCCCAAGAGCCGATCGACAGCAGTCCTGGCTTCGCTTCCTTCTCCCTCCAGTCGCCTGGACACTACTGGAGCGTGGTAAATGGCGGTCTTCAACCTGGCCCTCTCTCCTTCTCCTTGGAGCAGAGGACCCCCCTTGGGCTGTTACTCTGCCTCTTGCTCAGGGCCAGTCGCCCCACCTTCCACTTGTGTTTCGGGGCCCATGGCATTCCCCACCACACCCCTTGTCTCCTCTAGCTCCACCTCTGGGGCGACCTCTGCCACCCCCTCCTTCATCTTCTTCAACGCTGGCCCCTCCTCACCCTTGTCCACCGTCTTCTTCTTCTTACTTTTCAACACAGACTCCACCTCCTTGTTGCCTCTTTCCTTCAATGGATCAACTAGGGGCGGTCGTGGCTCAAAACTGCCCAAATCCTTTTCCTCCAGCGGCTTGGGGTACAGTCGGATCCTTTCCCTATCGATCGGTTTCGACGGACGGCCTAGCTGTGACTCTTTGTACTTATCAGCCTTGGCAAAATTCGTCCTATCCTCCACCTCATGCGCCCTCCTCCTCGCCTCCAATTCTGCTAGCACGAGGTCCCCACCGGTCGGTTGCAGTCCCAGCCCCGAGGCAAATAAAGCTGAGGGTTGAACAAGGTCATCACACTTGGTCCCCTCATTCTCCCTTCATGGCTTCACCTTCTTCACCCTTTCCTCTGCCTCCGCCTCCGCCTCCAACCTTGGCTCCACTGACTTGGTTGGCACCCTCCATACTGTGCGCACTCCCACTCTCCCGTTGGCTAACACATAGAACCACCGTGGCCTCCACCCCTTCACTGCCGATGGCAACCGCGCCACCAGACCCTTCCCTACCGCCGCTTGTAAAGTGACCCAAGTCTCTTGCTGTCCCGAAGCCTTGTAACATGCAAAAAAATCGTCCACCGTCATTGCAGCCCCCTCGTTCGCCCACGGCCACACGTTTGCACAGGCCAATACAATCTTCCACGCATTGGGCATCAGTTGGCCCGGAGCCACCTCTAGTCAATTCAACACCTCCACTACTATCCAGGGAAGCGACAACCTCAACCCCCCCTTTAACGCCTCTTCGTAGAGGGCAAACTCCCTCGGTCGAGCATCGGATGGCCTCTCCTTTGATGTTGGTAGTTTTAACTCTATTTTCGCGGAAATCTGATACTTCTCGCGCATGCCCTCCAACTCTTCCGCGATCAAGGATGACTTGTCGGCCTTCGTGTGCCAGTGATCTAGCTCTACCTGACTGATCGGCTTCGCAGCCGCTATCAGCGTGGACGAACGGGGTCGCCCTACCGGCTCCTCCCCACTCCCTACTCGCTTCTCCATCCTGTACTGCTCCGCCAGGTCCACCACGTCGTCATCCCCCAACGCATCTAGTGTCATGGTAGGCACATCCTCTCGAGCCATCTCTCTGGTATGCCTGCGTATGGCTTCAGAGGCTGGTACAAGGTAGTTCACAAAATGTTGCAGAGGTGTATCACTGGAAACAAAACAGTTTACTTTTGGAACGTTTGGGTTTTTTGAAAAAAGATAGGTAAAGCGGATAACACCAAAAGCCCAAGGCTTGCCTGTATTCCAAGGGTCACGATTAAATGTTGCTAGTTTGAAAATTTTCAAAAATTTGCCAAAACTGCCTTTTCAACGCCCTATGTTAACCTACCCCTTCGTTTCTTTAACGATGCCTAACCTCTCCCATTACGGGATTCCGCCACGTGTACGACCACGATCCACTGCCCCATTCCCCTACCCTGTCTTTTCCACTTCAAATCATCACGTGCCCTGTCACTCCTCGAGCCCGCACACCACCACTTCTCCCTCCACTCTGTCACCCTTCGCGTTCGGCCCTCCTCACGGTCGGTCCATCCACTCAGTCACCTTTCGCGGTCGGCCCTCCTCATGGTCGGTCCCTCCACTCGGTCACCCTTCGTGGTCGGCCCTCCTCACAGTCGGTCCCTCCACTCAGACACCCTTCGCGATCGGCCCTCCTCACGGTCGGCTCCCTCGCTCGGACACCCCTCGCCGTCGGCCCACCTCTCGGTCGGTCTTCGCCTCGCCGGTTTCTCACAACCCTCATTTTCTTCGTTATTCCCTTCATTGGACTAAAACTGCACTTGGGAATGGAGGACTACTGACATGGGTAAGCCCATAAAGGATATAGCCCACCACTTAGGGCCCAATACATAATTCAAATACTAAAGCCCAACATTACTGGAGCTCAACGTGGTATTAAGAACCAATGACATCTAAACACGTGGCAAGAGAAGGACAAGCCACATAAGCAAACAAAGATCCTGCAAAGTTATTGCACTGCACATCAGTCATTAATGGAGTTCCTTACAGCATTTATTGCGGTAACCCCTCCCCATCGGGATAGAACGGCTTCACCATGAACAATGTAAGCTAGAGTATAGACTTTCGGCCAAGGTGACAGGTCGGAAGGGACAACGAAATGATTAGCAGAGGATATAAGCAGACATTGAAGATAAGGAAAAGGTTAAGCTTTCTATCACTAATCTATCTCTACATTCTATCTCTCTTTCTAACTTGCTCGTCGGAGGGTTCGCTGGGGGACTCCTCGTTCCCCGTTAGACTCTTGTGCCGGTCTCTCTGTGGGCTTGGTACTTTAGACACCGGTTTAGGAAGCGTGAATCAATCCGACCCGTTCCGTCTGGAACATGTTGTATCATCAGAAATGTTGTGGGGATAGTAGGCTAATAAATTTAACACAGTGTACGTAAAAATATTGTTCCAAATTTAATGACAAATTGAGAAGTTTTTATTTCAAGTGAGTCTGATACCTACACCACCCCCCACTTGCATTGCATTTACTACCCAAATTCAAAATTGGTTAGAAGTTAGAAGATTGATGATCAATTGGGTAACCCCAACAAAGGGTTATGGTATCTTCTTATTCTCAATTTTTATTTTCTGTTTTAAAATATTCATATCATTAGATCAAATTCTGAAATTAATGCATTTTAAAAATTTAAATAAACTAGTGATAGTGGGTTATAATTATTCAATGGTCTTGAAATACAACATGACACTCCAAATTAATCACATAGTAAAAAATTTATTGTTGGAAAAAATTGAGTACCACTTGTTTGGTAATTACAAGATTTAAAATATAAAAAAATAAATAAATAAATAAATAAAAACCCATTTTGTGTTGTAATTTCTAATTAGTCAAAAGTACTATATAGACAATGTCAAATGGAACTCTAAAAGCATGTAATAATATTTCATAATGCGATTGTTCTAAGATATAGAGGGTCTTGACTCACAAGAGGTTGACATACGTAATTCTATAAAAATATCTAATAATTTTCTATAATTTGTGAGTATTCGGAATTAAAGAGAGTCCTGACCCACAAAAGGATAGGACACACAAAAGAGTAACATACGTAGTTCATCCGTGGCCTCTTGTTTTTGTACGGGGCATTATCATAATGCAAAGGTGAGATGAAAGAAGAAAATTTCTATGTACCAAAAAAATGTTAATGCAAATTTAGGCCTCGTTTGAGAACATGTTAATTTAGTAATTTTTTGGTTAATTGACTAAAAAAGTAAGTAAAATTTTTTTTTATGTTTGGGATGACTTTTTGACTAATTACGAAAAGCTGTGCAAAAAGTAGAGAGAAGTCGTAATTGTTGACTTTTTAGTATGACTAATTGGCTAATTTAATAACTTTTTGACTAATTGACTAAAAAGGTAACATCCCAAACGAGACCTTAAACTGTCAACAATACCCAAAATGAATTGTCCTACACTTTCAAATTAAATAAAAAAATAAAAAAAAGTACTTGTTTTGAGTCAGTGTATCCTCACTTCGTAGGAACAAAATAGTACTAAAATCCAAAAAAGGGAACTCTCATTAAATAGTGGTGCAAAGAATTTTCAAGAATTGCCTTGTTTCTTAACGCTCAAGATTGGAATAGTTGACTCACTTTTGCTATTGTCCTTGTTACTATTATTCAACTCCAATATGAAGTTGTAGCTAAAATCAGAACAAAAATTGAAGTTCTCGGCTTCATATTCTAGACTTCCTCATTCACTACTTCCAAACCAAGTAAGAACAAAATAAATAAATCAAATATATAACCCAAAAATTGTGTAAACAAAATTTTATCTTCTAGGAATGTCTTTTATTAGAAAAATTACAATTTTCTATTGCAGTTTAAGGTCAAGATGATGCAGCTTTTACGCCTTTACAATCCCCACCACCCAGTACATTTTGCACAAAGGTGAGAAGGATAAAAACTCAAAAATGGATGCCCCGAATGTTTTTCGCCTTTTGCAAATGTCCTCTATATCTCTTGTGGCTAAACTATACACATGATCTCCATATCCTCCCTTCCAAAGAAATAACAATGATCGAAACATCATCATGGTAACGACGCCGATCACCTTGTGGTATTTCGAGCAACTCATGAAAGTCCATACCTAGAATTCAACAAAACAATGTAAATACCATTCAGTTTTCCTATCAAATAAGAAGAAGAGAGTATTAAAAAGATTAATAAAGTTTTATCATTGACATGTGAATTTACCGGCTTTCTTTGCAGCACGAAACAGAAGTTCCTCAACTAGATGTTGAGCGGGGTCTCCCTCAGGTGACCATTCGACGAAAAGTTCAACCTCAGAAACGGCTTCTTCATTTGTGAAGTATTGATAAAGCCCATCAGATGATAAAATCAGAAACCTGTCTCGTGGCCCCAATCTGTGATGGTAAAGAGTTGGGAGACAAGAGATGTACGGGGAAGTTCCAATGTAGTCAATTCTAAACATCTCAAGAAGAGCATCATTCCATTTAGGCTGCAAAAACAGAAGTAATGCGAAAGTGTCAAGGGAAAATATAGAACCAGCATTATCCAAAATTGTTGCAGTTTACTCACTACATTCGCAAAAGGGAAATCTTCTTTATGCATCGAGAATTGTAAGGAGATAAGATCGTTTGTGTGATGGTTGTTAAATGGCTGCCATAAACTACAACATTATGATCAACCCAGTCAAGGAGATAGCAAAGTGAAAGCTTTACTTGTTTCATGAAATTCCATCCCACAAGAAAACCTTTCAGTTGGTCGTAATACTAAAAAACTAATATGGACAACTAGTTGCCATCTTTTTTTGTTTTTGTTTTTGTTTTTGTTTTTGATTGCTAACCAGATGCCATCTTGAGTGGATACTTTCACTCCAAAAATTTAGCAGAAGTCAAAACATGAAAATTTTATACCCTCCACCAAATTCAGTAGTGTATTAGAGCTAAGCTAATCAACAGATGTGAAGCATTTCTCAATTTGAAAATAGATAATTAGAAAGTAGAAGTTTAAAGCATTTCTCCTCAACTTTCAGATATTTCAGTTTTTTCATCATATTTAAGCAATTTCTGTCTTATAAACTATAAGAAACTCCAATAAGCTGCACCCAACATAACCAAAATATATGTATAGGAGCTTATTCATGCTTTTTCTTGAAGTGTATATCATATTAATTCTGTAGTGTGTTCGCTTTGTAGAAAACTGAAACATCACTGGAATGTTGACCACAAGCCTATACTATAAAAGATGCCTCCCAAAATAGGAAGGCAAGTTCTTTTCCTCTGTTTTTGTGGATTATAATCTTTGTTCCCAACAAAATATCAATCTCCTTTTATAGTCAACCCTCAGAATTTTTCACAACCATTTGAGGAATCTACTTTCCTCAAGCATCAAAGTGATTCAAAACAACTTTACATTTTCCACCAATTTCTATTCTTAAATGGGTTCAAATCTATTTTTTAAAAAAGAGGAGAATCTAATAATGTACCTGCTTAAGAAAGCCAGCCCCGAAAGCTCGAGTGACCTTCAACGAACCCTTCACGCGATCATTCATCATTGCACAAGCATCATCCGGGTGCTCACTCTTTATTCTTTGTACTTCCTGAAATGCAACATAATACAATATATCAAACAATCCATGAAACAGAGTAAAAACAGAGTAAATTCCTGCAACAAAGTAGTACCCCCTCCACAGAGGTGCTATGATCCATGGTGAGCTGAAAAGCACTTAAATTGGGCGTTGTGTTGGATCGATCACCATCATGTACTTCAAGATCATGCAGTGTTTCTTCTTTGATTCTCTCCAAGTCTTGTCGCCAAAGATCTGGCTCTGCTTTCTGAGCCAACACTGCTCGACTATCGCCTACATTCATCGCATAAACATCCTCACCCTTCATTAGCATTACAAGAACACAAGAACCCATCAATGCCAACTCCGGATTTTCGTCGAGCATCTTGTCTGCAATATCCAAATAGGCCTCCTCTGTTTTCCTCAATGCTTGAGACAGAGCTTTCAACACATCAGAGTGATTGATTTGCCCCGAACCATTCGACCCATTTCGATTCAACTGTTCTTTCAATCTCCGATCAAGCTCTAACCTCTCGCGATCCCATTCGCACCTCCACCTCCTCTGATTCTCCTCCCATTTCTTCGCCGCCCCTTTGAACATACTCTTGGCATTCTTTCCCCAATTTTTCTTCGAATTCGATTCGCAATTCAAATCGCCACCTCCACAAGGATAATTCTCTTGATCGACGCACCGCGAACAGGCTTCCCTTGAAAATCCATATTCCATTTCTGGGTTAGAGTTTTCAGAAGGAACAGAGGAACCAGAATTGGAAGACTCGTTCTTGTCATCCCATAACAAACCCTTGAGCTCCTTATGAACAGCAGAGTACAGATTCGAGAGAAGATAATCAGGCGCATCAGGGCCGTTGAATCCATCATAAATTCCAACGAAAACCCATCCATGTTTCTCCGAAACAACCACATGAACTCGATCCTCCCCAGCTCTCCCTTGTGCCCATTGAAGATTCTGACTCTCCAGCGAATCATCATCGTCTAAGCTACCATCACTGCTCAGATTATTCACACTACTGACTGTGAGTTCATTTTGCTTCTCAGACCCAACAATCCAATCCTGTTCTTTCATAGAAATAACGCTTTTAATCGGCGCGACAATGGAGTTTTGCCCTCTAGAAATCGTCTTCGATATCGCTCTCTGTAGAACTCGAATCAACGACCCTTTTCTCGATCTGGATCGGAAAGCAAAACCACCATGAGAGTAACTCCTCTGGAACTGATCTGAACAACCCTTTTCGATTGGACCCGAGAAGAACCCTCTCTCAATCGGCCCCGACAAAAACCCTCTTTCGATCGGACCCGAAACCGGAATTCCCCACGAATTCGTCGCCGGTAAGGGACCGGAACACATCGAATTCCGAGGAATTGGTTGGAGAGGAATGGAAGCGAAGGAGGTCGAGCTCTCGAAAGCCGAGGCTCGATCGATGCTGTTGTAGCTGTAGAGATCGACGAAGGCTGTGGAGAGAGGGGTTGAAGTGTTGGCGCTGACGGAGGCGCCGGAGATTGATCGGAAAGTTGTGGTCTCCTCCGAGTGGACTTTGGAGGAAGATATATGATTCGGGTCGGGTCTGACGTAGCAGAAGGAGTGACCCAGATCGTCGATTGGGTCGGAAATGACGATGGACATGTCTTTTCTCCGGCGAACTCCATCATTGCCGGTGAAGCAGACGCTGATCTTCCCCAACCCGTTACCCATCAAAAAAAAAAAATCACAAATTACACAGAAAATCGCAGTGTTGTTCTATGCCCTATATCTGAAATTTCATGGCAGAGAGAGAGAGAGACAGAGCGAGAAGAAGACAGGAAGAAGGGGTGAAGGAGTAGAGGGAGAGACGACGCGTTGACTTTTGGGCAGATGTTTTGATAAATCAACTTTAGCAATTTTTTTTCAGCAATTTTTTTTTCAAAAAAAAATAGAAAAAGAAATATGTGCGTGCGCGACGTTGACGAAGTTAGTTTTAAGAAACAAAAAATTTTTTTAAAAAATTAAAAAAATTAAAACACATTGGGTTTGGGTTTGTATTAAACTGTCATTGGTAAACTCGAACATTGTGCGTGAGATACACTCTCCGTATATATGTATATGTGCCCTCGTTTATCATGTTAAAATAGTCAAAAATAAATAAATAAATAATATAAATTAAATTAAAAAAATAATAAGATAAAATCTCACATCTGAATAATAATTATTTTATTTTTTTTCTTAAAAAGTTAAAAAAACTAAAAAGTATAATCCAAATAAGATTTTTTAGCTCAGGCTAAAACTAAAAAATTAACAGATTTTCCAAGCAAAACCTATATATAAAATGGTAAATGCCAACAAATATGGTATGTATAATATGTCTTGAAAATATGTAAAATTATTAAAGAGTGTACTAATTTCAATAAAAATTTAAAATAATAATAAAAAATTATCTCATATTCTTTAATTTATTATTATTATTTATTTCTTTTACTTGTGCCTTAGGATACTTAGGCCTCGTTTGGCAAGTGACTTTTTTTGTCAAAAAATTAAAAAGTTATTAAAAAATTCAAAAAGCTAACAACTTATACAAAAAAGTCAAAGATTTTCTTTTCTCTCTACTTTTTACATATCTTTTCGTAAAAAGTCAAAAAGTCATCCCAAACATTTTTATTATATCATATTTTAACTAAAAAGTCAAAAAATTATTAAAAAAGTATGTTTCCAAACATGACCTTATTAACAAGACCCATATAAAAATTCAATGCAGCAGTGATATCATCTAATGATTTTTTGTGTTTTACCCATATGTATATGTGATAAGACAATTGTAACTAAAAAATAATATGTTTGGTTTTAATTTTCTGAAAATTGAATTTTTTTTTTGTGTTTTTTTTTAGCAAATATTTTAAAATTTTAAGATTTTTTTTTTTTTTACTTTTTTAGATGCATCTTACTTAGATGTATCTAAATAGTACAATATTTGTGAAAAACTATTTTAAAAAATTAATAAATACACAAAAATATGAAAAATATATTGAATTTTCATATTTTTGGTATTTTGTAAATTTTTTTAAAAAATCACAAATATTATACTTTTTAAGTGTATTTATGTTAGGTGTGTCTAAATATTAAAAAAAAAATTGCTTAAAAAGATTAAAAACAAAAAAGTACAAAAAAAAAAATTTAAAAAGTATTTCCTGAAAATGAAAGCCAAACAAATTGATTGATTTTTCCAATCATGTAATTTCATTATATGTCTATTAGTTATTTGTATCATGTAACATTTTTACTCCGGTGTAATAATTGACCAAATTTGAATTAGAGTAATGATACATAACTTTAATTTGAGAGTTTTAAATGGAATTTTAGTAAGGTAGAAGAGAGGAAGAGTAGAAAGAGAGAGAGAGAGAGGAGTGTAGACCCCATCTTCACATAGGTATTCTCCACATCATTAGAGTTGCATTAGAGTTTTCAAACATTATTGTTGAGCATGTTCTTAGAATCAATTCCTATTTGCATAATATTCGGTGAGTTTAATTTTAGTTTTCTGAATTCAATTTTTTGAAAATTAAGTTTTTTATGTTTCGTATTTTTTTTGTTTTTAGTGAATATTTTTTAAATTTTAAGCAATTTTTTTTTTTTACTTTTTTTAGATGTACCTTACTTAGATATATCTAAAAACGTAAAATATTTGTGAAAAACTATTTTAAAAAAATTAATAAACAAAAAAAATATATATTGAATTTTCATTTTTTTTATATTTTTGGTATTTAGTGAAATTTTTAAATAATTTTTTTACAAAAATTATGTTTTTTAAGTGTATTTATGTTAGGTGTGTCTAAAAATTTTAAAAATTGCTTAAAATATTTTTAAAAATGCAGTAAAAAATAAAAAAATAGAATTTTCTGAAAAATATTTTCAAAAAACTAAAACCAAACAAATTGATTATTATCTATCCATACTTTTTATATAATTTTTTAATATGATTTTGTTGCTTAAGAGCATTCACATCAGTCTCAACAAATTTTGAGTCAAATTATAATCCAAAATTCACTTTTGTTATTTTAGCTAGTCAACTTTTTATTACTTACTAAATCAGATTCTCTATTCTAACTCAATCTTATTAAAATATTAATTTCTTATTGTATTTGTTATTCTTTATTTTTTTTATTAAATTGATGAGGTGCCATCAAACAATTCTTAAAAAATACAAAAAATAAAAATAAAAAATTGCCTTTGATCGGTTGACTGGCCGATTGACTGGCCGGTCGACCGCCTAGACTAATTTTCGGCATTTTTTCTTCTTCTGCTACAGGCACTCACGGGACATCCGGTGGGATATCCGAGGGGGCATCCGGGTGGACAACTAGTTTAAAAATTTTGGCCTAGTTTCGTTTCAGAAAAATATAACAAAAAATCATGTAGCTAATGAACAATATCTCAACAAAGTTGTTGAGGTACTATAACAAATTTAACAAAAAGTTAATTTACAAAAAAAATTGTTGAACCTGATGGAGGAACAATTTTGTGATTTGCTTGCTATATTTTACCTTTTTATTATTTTGATAATGCTGATGCTGATGCTCTAAGTCAATTATAGATAAAACACATATTTTCGAATCCAGCTATTGTCACTTGCCTCAATCCTACAACATTATGATTGTGGGAGTCTGGAATGAGTTTATCTTACATTAATTTGAGAAATATTTATATCTCAGTTTATAAGTTGACTAATTTTTCCTAACTAATTTATTAAATTTATAATTTTGCAATTAAAAATATGAAATATGACACTTCGGTACGTATATTTTATTAGAAAATGCTAAAAGTTATAATCAATTATATGTTTGGGAAGTATTTTTTGTTTTTTTTTTTGGCTAAAAAAACACTAAAAGACAAAATTGGTTAAAAAATTAAAAAAGAAATCATTAAAAATGTCACATCAAATCCATAATCATTTTACTTTTTCTCTCACAAACATCACATCCAACTATAAAAAAATCCAATTATCTTTTCAAACACAAAAATTTTAATCTCCTAAAATAATAAAAAACTAAAAAAATCTACTAAAATAACAACTTCCCAAACACCCACTAATTTGGGACAAAATCTTAAATTCAGAATCAAAATCTAGTCAATTAAATTATAGAGATCAAAATGACACAATAACCAATGTATAAGGACTATAGTAGTAATTTATCCTTTAAAATATTTTTAAATTTACCTTACATATATAACAATTTGATATCAAACAAATTTTTAATGAAATGAATACAATTCAATTCAACTAGTTTGATTTCAAACAAATTTTTAATGAAATGAATACAATTCAATTCAACTAGTTTGATTCATTGAAAAATGCTTGGGAGCACTAATTAGTGGTCCTACTAATTAGGTGGCAGTGGGTCCCGCCATTAATGATGTGATGTTTTGGTCTTGGAGTTGTATTTTTATTTTATTTTTTTTATTTTTTTAATGCATTAGTGCTATTAGTGGTGATGTTTTTAGTGGGATGAATCATTGTTGTTGATTCATTTTATCATTCCAAGAAGGTTAAGGAAAGGGTAGGGTAGCAACAGGGGAGTAGCTATGGTACGATTACGATTTGCATATGAGAGTATTATCCCTTGTTTGAGAAGTTGTTTATTTTAATTTTTAATTATTGTAATAGGTTAAAAAAATTTGTTTAAAAGGATAGTTGAATTTTTTTATATCTAGATGTGATATTTATAAGAGAAAAAATAAAATAATTATAGATTTAATGTAATATTTTATCTTATAAATTATTTTAATTTATTTTGTCTTTTCAAAAATTTAAAAAAAAAAAAACCAAAAAGACACCCAGGGGATGTCAGAGAAAAGAAATACATACAATAAAAAAAATTACAATTTTAATTATAAATATTTATAAAAAAATTATTAATTTGCCAATATTTTTGTAAAACTATATTGATTTGATATTTTCCTTAAAATAAAGAGTTAATTACTAAAAGGTCTTATTTACAAATGTTATGATAGCTCAGATTCTATGTAAGATTTTTTGAATTAATAAGTCATATTTAGTAAAATTAAGAATATTATCAGTTTTTTTCTAATCTTTAAAATTAAGAATATTAGTAATTTTGCATGATAATATTTCAGATAATTTTTTCACTAATTAAGGGGGAAAAAAACAAAGTATGATAAAACGTTTTTGTCCTTCTACTTATTAATTTAATTTAATTATCCAATAAAACCGAGAATATCATCGGTTTTTTTTTTGTTTTCAATTTTGCAAATTAATATTCCACCATCATGCTCTTTTTTATAGACACAAAATATTTAGTTTTGCACAAAAAAAAAAAAAATCAGCTTTTTTTATAGTTTTTTTTTTTTGCACAATTTTCTTTTTACGTTTTTTCAATTTAACAGCTGATATTTTAAAATTTTAAAAATCAAAATAAATATTAAATTATCATATTTCTTTATAGACAATCAAAATGATGAACAATCATTATTTGAAGGATAATTCCGACTGTTAAAATTTTAATAGTATTTGAAGATTTAAAAAATCTTAGTTAAGACTTAGCCTCCGTTGGGAAAGTGGGTTGTCTTTTTGGCTTTTGACTTTTTTAACTTGTGCTAAAAAGCTTGATTTGGGAAAGATTTTTTGACTTTTTTATTTTTTTATGAGAAAAGAGTGTAATAATTGTGGATTGGATGTGATGTTTAAATTATTGTGGCTAAAATAGTCTATTTTATCTTTTGTGACTATTTTAACCACAAACTAACTTGCTAAACACCACCGAGTATAAGTTATAAATTAATCCTGATGTGTAAATGTTCTTAAAATAAATTGTGTGAAGTAAGTAATGATGTGCGGCACGCGCTAGGGAAGAGAGTTGGGCA